TAGGTTCATTCTATAGACCCCCGGACAATACGGCTTTCTTCGAAGATATAGTAATACCTTCAGAAAAAGCTTGTTACAAATACAAGAACTTAGTTTTGGTGGGGGATTTCAACGTCAATTTCAGCAAAACAGCACACGGACATGAGTTAAGACTACAAGAAAAACTTATGTCTGCGCTTGTTCAATTTGACTGTTCCGTCATGAACAAAGATTTCACAAGGGTAACGCCTACCACAGAAACAATGATCGACTTGATAATCACAAACAAAGCCGATTTGGTGGAAAATATTAAAACAGCAGACACTGGAATATCCCATCACAATCTAGTATCCTTCTCTATGGATTTTAAGCCAAGAAAGGTGCCTCCCAGGATAGTAACTATAAGAAACTGCAAGAAAATGGAGATAGAAAAATTCAAGTTGGATCTACAAAATGCTCCATGGTCTACTTGTGAAATGTTCGAAGATGTCGAAGACAAGTGTTCAGTATGGACAGATATATTCAAAGATATATGTGAAGAACATGCGCCAAAAAGAAAATTTAAGCTTCGGCGACAAACATTGCCATGGATGAGCGGTGCATTAAGACAGAAAATGAACAGGAGATACAAGGCTTTGCAGAAAGCAAAGAAAGAAAGAAACAACGAAGGACTGTGGAAAGAATACCGGAAGTTGAGGAATGAGGTGACAGCAGAATTAAGGAGAGCTAAATCAACCTACTTTGCGGAGCTTGCAAATTGTCAAAAAATAAACACACGGAAGTATTGGAAAATTCTAAATCAAGCCAGTGGGAAGGAATCAAACATGAAGACCATTCGTGCGATTAAGTCAGGTACTGGCGCATTGGTCACAAATGATAGAGAGATAGCAAATATATTGAATAAGCATTTCGCAACTACAGGAGAAAATTTTGTTAGCAGGTCTCTTAAACAGCCACTACGTGCCAACAGTAGAGCTCATTGATCGAATATCCCCAACCGTTATGGAAATTGAAATACAGGAAGACTGTGTAAAAGAGAACTTGTTAAGGCTCAATATACATAAAGCGACTGGCCCAGACGACTTGCCACCGATTTTGCTGAGAGCAGCTGCCGAAGAAATCGCACCATCATTGACAGATATTTTCCAAACAAGTGCAAGGACTGCTACTCTACCCAGTTTGTGGAAGGTGGCAAGAATAGCAGCAGCACATAAAAAAGATGATGAGACAGACAGAGATAATTATAGACCATTATCCATGCTGTGCACTCCAAGCAAATTAATGGAGAAGGAAGTACACAAAACCTTAGTAAACCATATTGAAATTAATCCTGGTTTACTAAACCCAAGTCAGTGGGCATACAGGAAAAATAGTTCAACGGAAGCACTGTTGTTACATAGGACAGAGATATGGAGGAAAGCAGTCGACAGCAATAGAGTGGTGGGAGTTGTCTTCATCGATTTTAAGAAGGCTTTTGACTCTGTCCCTCATCACCAACTACTGCTAAAGTTACAGCGGGCAGGCATCTCTGGAAATTTGTTGTTGTGGATCCGAAACTACCTCTGTAACCGACGCCAATTCACTAAAATAGGACTGTGTGATTCTGAAAGAGAGGGTGTTGACTACGGGGTGCCACAAGGATCAGTCCTGGGGCCCCTATTATTCGCACTCTTTTGCGATGATCTTCCGAACTGTGCACGGCACGATGGTGAAGAATTAGAAATGTACGCCGATGATACGACCTTGACTAGTATAGGCGAAACAGTCGACCAAGTGATCCTCAAACTAAATGAGACATTAGGCCTTGTGAGTGAATGGTGTTACAAAAACGGAATGACGGTTCATCCAGCCAAAACAGAAGCCATGCTCATAAAACGCGGAACTTTCGTAGGTCCTCTACCACCAGTACAGTTAAATGGCAGTTTAGTGAAGTGGGTAAAGAAGTCAAAATCTTTAGGAGTGACTTTGGACAATAAGCTAAAATGGAGAGGACACACAGAAAATGTCAAACTTGCATTCGTCAGGAAATTAAATTTGTTAAAATCAATGGGTTTCCTCCCAAAACATATGCTGGAAGATTTTTACTGGAAAGTAATCTTCCCATCCGTAACATCATTCTCGTTTGGGGAAACTGTGGTAAAACACATTTCAAAGCCAATGAAAGGTTGTACACAAGGGCCGCACGTATAATCTACAGGTTGAATTGGGATCTACCAAGCCAAGAAGTGGCTTAAAACTGGCTGGAAAACACTGAGCAGTACGTATAAGCAAATAGTATTAAGCACTGTCCACAAATGTTGTTACGGTGAGGCACCAGACCAACTCTGTCAGAATATAATTACAAAGAAAGATAACAATTTAAGAGGATAAGAAAAGTTGGTTATTCCAAGACCAGAAACTAACTTCCTGCATAAGTCAGTAACATTTAGGGGAGCAGTATTGTGGAACAAACTACGACCAATCTTAAGAACGAGGAACGACATAATAATTTTAAAATGTTGATACGGCAACAAGATCTTGAGGCAATGGATTTTAGCTCTTACACAAACAATAATGATCTTAACTATATCTATTTTTAAACTTTTCTAGTTATATTCTTACTATAAGATATTTAATTTATATATAAATAATATACATTAGCATAGCATATGTAAATTGATATTACTATATACTTGTAAACACACGACCACATCAGCAATTTGCTTTGACCTGCCGATTATTTTAACTAAAGCAAGAGAAAAATCACAAGATGATCGACCAACAATAAAGTTGTAAATGCGGTTTTATTGTTTACAATACACACTAAATCAGCTTCAGTCTCGCATGTCAATAGTCAAAGTTTAATTTTGGCTGATTTATATATGGTGTAAAAACAGGATGTTGTCATGCGGAGCTAGTCTGCTGCGTTTTTTAGTGGAAATGTTCCCAGCCTCACTGAACACGAGCTCCGAATGTATGCAAAATTAGAAATATCAGGGTTTGTTTAGCTAATCAGAAAAACAGAATATGCATGGTATGACTTGACCACAGAATAACAACTCAATGCATAGGAATGCTTTGGTGTTTTAACTGCTTTTAATGACTTCCTCAAAGCCACTCACGTTAGACAAAAGACGCAGGTTTTCAAGCAAACCCTTGGTAGCCGAGTGGTTAAGGCATGTCTTGCCTTGTATTCGCTAGCTCCGTGGATTGACCTGCGAGCAGGTGGCCTGATCAGTTTGGGTTAGGAGTTAGAGGTTAGGGAAGGGGTTAGGTGTGGGTGAGGTTCTGGTTTTATTGTGTGAATTTAAATGAACTAGTAATCAAATGAATTCACATATTTTTAAATCTTTTTGTGCAATATTTATATGAAGACTGAATGAACTTTTGAATACTGAAAATTTGAAACACTGATATTTGAAAATAAGTATATCAGTTGTGGCCACTGGTCCCATTGCGCGAAACGTACTCCAACATGCATAAACTTTTATTTTTTACAGCTTTTATTCTCCTTTAAAGAGGCAACTAAGTCTCTTCAGCAGATGTGCAGTTTGTTTACATTTTGAAGAGACTATATTCATAAAATATAATGCACTTAGTTAATATCTAACGTTGTTCTGGTTTGCTATGCTTTTAAATGAAATTCAATATAGATTAGAGTTTCAATTTAGAAGATGTCAAAAAAATGCGAAATTTGGGTATTGTTTACATCAGAGGGCCCCCGCATAGCACATTGCACAGAACAGATTTGACCTCATCTTTAATGTAACATCAATTCATCTGTCATGTGGCATAAACTTGCGGCATAAAATTTTGAAGGACAGATTCCAACCTGGAATAGGATAGTGGCGGGATCATGCATATAAAGACTCAATATAAGTTTATATTAAGTGAGATCTCAGCCGCTGACCCATATCATCTAGTCACCTAGCCTGCAAATACACGCTACCCTCAACCCTTGTGGTGATTGGTGAGCAGCTGATGAGGTTAAACTACTAGACTATATAGACCCATTGGGTCATTCCAGAAAACAAAATAGGAAGTTAACCCCCCTACCCCCTTTGGATGTCCTAATACATTTACTATTATCAGAAACAATTTTTTCTCCCCTCCCCCTCCGGACTGCAGAAATTTCCTCCGTGGGGGGAGTATGTATCTTTTCTGGAATGACCCATTGCACATGACGTCACAGCGCTGGTGACAATGCACCTGGAGGACAAATTAGCAATCTATGCATAATATAACTTTTGTAAACAAAGCAAATTTTATAAAACTTAAAATAATTTTGTATTAAAATGGTTAATTTTTGCACTGTAGATGGTTGTTGTACCCGAACAGATATTGTTAGGGAACATCTGGAGCCATAGTGGAAAGTTGGGCACTTTAAGGGGAGATCTCCCGCGGCAGGCAAAGGTGAAAAACTGCTGATGCGGCAAAATGTTGCAGCAGAAAAACCGTAAAATTGATAGTACGGCAGAATTCTGCAGCAGAAATAATTTAGAAAATACCTGCGGAACAATTTGGGTGACATGGCAGTGGTGTGTTGTATCAACACATCATAAGATGTATTAATTATTTGACAAAAAAGCTGTGTTGAGTTAATAGCACATCTTTTTTTTAAGAGTGATGGCTTCAATGTTTACTGTTTAGTGGTCAGCAGTATTGCGTGTAGTCGTTTGAATTTTTACCTGCGGCAGCATATTATTGGCATTGCGGCAGGATAGAATGCATGGTCTTGTCAACTGCGGCAGTCTTCTGCGGCAGCCAAAGCATACTTTCCACTATGGATCTGGAGGACACTCTAAGGATTTGTGACGTCACTCACGAAATTTATGGATTAAACAATCAAGAGCATCATTTGTTGAACGTTTAAAGTTTTTGAATGCAATTAAAGTTGTAGAAAAGGTGTTGAAGGCAATGACGTACTACCAAATGACGAATAATCACGTGAGCGACACTTGCTAGGAACACAGAATAGATACTGGGCTAGGGGTGCACCGGAACCAGTTTTTTAAGTTTCGGCCGGAACCGGATCCGACCGGAACTGGAAAAAAGTTCCGGCCGGAACCGGAACTAATTTATTAAGCCATTATATAGTCATATGTTACTTTGTCCGCTGCCAGACAGGCAGACACTTCAAGTCATCAAGGAGAGAGCTCGCAAATGTTAGAATAAAAAGATTGACAAGCGTTAAACGTCATAATGAAGTGTTAATAGTGTACATTTCCCTTGCGTAGTCCAAATTTCTTCCTACTGTGACCTTTTGTTAGACACAAAAACGTTTGATATTCTATCTCTCTGAAAACGACAGAGTTCCGGTTCCGGCCATGCTTTTTTTACTAGTTCCGGCTGGAACCGGAACTCTAAAAAATCGGGGTTCCGGCCGGAACTAACCGGCCGGAACCGAGTTCCGGTGCATCCCTATACTGGGCCAGAAGTGTCACTCTGACGATATTTTGTCCAAAATTTTACGAGTGCTGATGTGCCGTGTGCACTCCAGGATGGCGTCATAGCACGTAAAAAAATTTTGGACGTCTTCCTTCAGCCAAAACACATAGGAGTGACACTTCTGGTCCAGTATCTATTCTGTGCTAGGAAGATGGCGACCATGGGACAACTTTTTTACTGAAGTTACACATCTGTCCTTACTTAATCTATGACTGTATTCTCAGGCTACTGTACATATCACTAGCCGGGATTAGTTTTGGAGTTGCTCTGCTCAGTATTAAAATATACTCACGATATTTTTGTGGGAACAACTTGGGATGAACAGCCACAGGATAAAGAGCTAAACCAATGGCTGTCACCAAACCTCCAACTACAAAAATTCCTTTGTTGGTTTTTGACATATTGAATCTTCGATCTTTATAACTTCCTCAATTGTAGATTTAGGATTACTACATGAAAGAGCTTACAACAAAGTTTGATCCTGGATCTCTATTAACTGTGATCCAACGAATCCAACAAATCTACTGTATCTTTTTGTATCTATTAAAAAGTAATTTACTATTTTTTTATTTCACCAATTTTCGCATAATTGAGAAAATCCCGCCAACAAGACGAAATTTTACCGCATTTCTAGCTTATATCCGCCAAATTTGGCACAATTTCACCTGATTACGATATTTTGTCGTTTTGTTGAAGACATTGCTAACAGCAAGTATCCCAGTAAGTTTTTTTTCAAAAGCCAAACTCTACAAAATGGCAACAAGTGAGACGGTAAATACTCAGGAAAAGAAAGAAAATCCACGCTGTTTCTTTGATGTGACTATTGGTGACAAGCCAGGTATGTAATTACTGTTCAAGTTTGAGTAGCAGAGTAGGGTCTGAGAGCAAATTATACCGAATATATTGTCTGTACACACCACGTGTATTCGGTGTGTATAAGTTTGGACCGTGGATATAAATGGATATTACAAATAAACTATCATACATGTAGAAAAATATTGTATATTATAATTGTGTTCTGTGTCTGTAGCTTGATGGAATGTACATTTGATATCATTGATGAGCTTGCTTCTAAGTTGAGATGGTTTTATACTAATAAAGGACAAGCTGCAGTTTGAGGGAGATACCATGCACTACCAGAAAAATACAAGCAGATACTAACTCACTACTAACTTTCTGATGAAGGGCTTTTGCTCGAAACGTCGAAGTTTTGCTTGTATTTTCAGGTAGTTGTGTCGAGTCTCTCAATAGCTGAATTCATATTAGAAGACGGATTTCCGTCTAAGATGGGAAACCTTGTGTGACGGATTTCCGTCTGGTATAAGTATGAAACGAAAACCATCGAACGGATAAACCCGAAAAAATAGGAGACCCTCCATCCCAGTCTCTTTTGAACGTTACTAGCAGAAACCTGTCTGATTTATTCGTCTGATATAAATTTAAGACGGATTTCCGTCTAAGATGAGAAACTCGTCTAACTTTCCCGTCTTTCAGACGGGAAACTTAGACAGAAAAGTTGAGACGGAAAACCCGTCGTTTACCAAATTTATATCAAGACGAGTTTCTCGTCTGAGACGAGTTTCCCGTCTTAGACGGAAATCCGGACATCTTCTAATATGAATTCGGCTAATGCACAGTTGTCTTCAGTATAAAACCAAAGTTCTCAATTTAGACCATGAGCTTAGGCCTAAAAAATACCTGACAGTGTGGTTCTGGTTCCCGACCGACCCTATTTTTTTCTGCCGACCCTATAATTATTTTTTCTGCGCGATTGACCATGCAGAATGATAATATGATATAAAATATATATCTCATCAAGCTTCAAATACCAGACCTGCAAATAATTATTTTGCTTGGAAGAACAAATGTCAGGCCAAGATCAACAAAAATTGATCAGACATGTATCAGCTTTTCTCAGACAATGGACAAAGCAAAATGTTTCATGTATCTTTTTGAGCACGATGTATTTTGGCTGGACCGGCTGGTTATGTTAGCCGTACTACAATAATGCATCTACAACTGAGCAAAGTACATAATTATCTACCACAGGGCTTGAAATTTGAAATTTTCGGCACTATCCAGTGGCCCGGGATACAGTACAAGAAACTAATTTGGTATCCACCATGAAAATCTGTTTCCCACATTTGGCTAGTAACATTCAGACTTTGAAACAACTGGTAAAATGAGTTTTCAATTGTTATGTATTTGATGATATAATAAATCTAAGACATGTTTATACTGTAAAACTGTGTACTGTAAAACAGAAAAATACACTATCTGTGGAGGACAGAAACTTGTTTAGTATCCCAATGGATACTGAGCTTGTGATCCTTAAATTTGTGTATCCCTTGGATATCGGGATCTGCAAATTTCAAGCCCTGCATGGTCATTTGAGCTAAAACTGAACCCCTCTTTGACATCCTATTCAAAGAGAAAAAACATGGAATATAGTTAGACCCTAAAAGTGTGCAGAATTTAATGCAATAATTAATTGACACTGATATATAGTAAACAAAACAATGTCTTAATTTTTATGTAACAGAGGGAAGAATTTATTTTGAACTGTTTGCTGATGTGTGCCCAAAAACAGCCGAAAATTTCAGGTCATTGTGTGTGGGTGATAAAGGCATTGGTCAGTCAACTGGAAAACCTCTGCATTTCAAAGGATGTCCATTTCATAGAAGTAAGATTTAAAGATGAGATGAGTACTTTTTTAAATTTAAATTTATTTTCCCATGTACAATACAATTATTAATACATTATTACAAAAGAAATATTTGGGCTAGAGACCTACGGTACTCGGGTACTAGAAACCTTTGCAGGCTTTTGTATCTAGGCCACTAGTCATGTTCCTAGTATTTAGATTACTTTATTATTTACAGTAATTATTAAATGGAGATAATAATGCAGAAGAAAAGTTTTACATGGTATACAGTACTGCCAAGAAATAACTTATCAAAAACCGCGTCCAAGACGCGGGTATCTTGCGTCCACTGTGCGTCCACGGGCGCGGGTGCGTCGTCCTGCGGGCGCCGTGCGTCCGTCGTGCGTCCACTGTGCATCTGCGGGCGCTTGCGGGTGCGTCCACTGTGCGGGCGCCATGCGTCCGCTTTGCGTCTGCGGGCGAGGACGCAGCTGAGAAAGAGTTCTACTCGTAGATCGTCGGAAATTATCGCGTTTCGCTTTTCATAAACAAACCGTGGGCGTCGGAAAATATTTATGTTAGCGATTTCACACCACGTTTTTATGCTTATACACCAGCGTTACAAACGTAGAATCCTAGATATTTATATTTCTAATATTAAACTTACCGTGAAATTTCAGAATTTGTGCTTCGTAAAGTTCCTTTTCGTATTTGATCTCTACTTTCGCACCTTCGTATAACGTTTGGTTTAAACCCAGTAATCTTTTAACATTGCCGGTTTGCAAAATGCACGTATGGTTTTATATCTTCTTCGAAGAAACCCAAAATACGTTTTGGTTGACAAGTAAGCGATCGATATCTCATTTTATTAGTCTGATACTAGTGATAGTAATACGGATCGAGTGATATTAGTCTGAGCTCTTCACTTCAGCTTTAGCGAATTATACTGCAACTTTGAAAATCAAGCGATGAGTCACAGTCATTGAACCGTGTTGAAACACAAAGACTGTTTCCTGGACATGTAAAGGTATTCCATTAAGGGATTAAGAGAAGTCATTTATCCAGAAATTATATGGTAATTATCAATTTATATGACATATCACCATGTGCATTTACTGTTTTGGAAAAACAACACAAACTTGTTGCTGTAAATAAAATTATATAGTGGCTCGTAGTAATGGTATTTTATATGAAAAATCAAAAACACTATATATATATTGTAAATGAGCATCTTCGTTTTAATATACTGACGAGTTATGGAGACATAACATTATTCAAATACAGAATTGCATATCAACTAATCGGCAATCTTCTATGAGGTAAGTCAGAATTTGAGTAGCAAATGAATGTGTTGCGAGATATATACTCGTTGTAGTCGTGATCTCACTGAGTTTAGTATATGTGTCTACATTATATTTATATATTGTTTATGTCTATTTTACGCTCCAATATACAGTCATATACGCTTCAATCTCGACTCAAGTACGTGTGATTGCATTGTGAAAGAACTACGCTTACTGTAGTATAACGTATAACATCATAAAATGGTTATACTAAGTGTAACGCTTAGGTTAAATGAAACTCGATTTCGGATTCAACTTTTTATTCTTTGCTTCTCCGATCAGTGACACTGATCTGTATTCTCACGACAAACAACGAGTATGATGCAAATATTAGTTCGTTTTTCCGATTATGTTACGACGACTGCGTCCAAGCGGACGCAGTTTTTAACTAGAGGCCGGACGCAGGCGCTTTGGAGGCAGGACGCGGGCAGAGCAGACGCAAGACGCGGGCGTCGTGGAGGCCGGACGCGGGCGCTCTGGAGGCAGGACGCGGGCAGAGTGGACGCAAGACGCGGGCGCTCTGGAGGCAGGACGCGGGCAGACGCGGGGACAAGTTATTTCTTGGCAGTACTGTACAAGATATTTACAAATTTGAAGTATGAATGGTAAATACTTTAGTGTTTACAATATTAAGATAAAGAGATATGCTAGTTAGATTTTTTATTTTTATATGATATTATTTTGTACAATGGCAATGTATGGACATTGTCTGCATAAATTGTTTCTAGTTTGTTATAATGATCATGGCCGGATTTTGAGGGGAGGTGCGCACCTCCCCTGAGATTGTTTTGCACCTCCCCTGAAAAGTCATGAACCTCCCCTCAGTGGGGAAGTTTTAATGATAGATCAAAGTGAAAATTTGACATTTTTGGTTGCTTAGAGTCTACACTTCGTAAGAAAGTTTTAACAGTGATACAGTAACCATTCATCTCTGTCAGTCAAGTATCCTTTTAATGCAATGTTTTGAAATAAACTTTGTAGTAATTGTAATGAAGGGCAAAATTGGATGAGTTGTACACTTCAGTCAGTCATAATTCATTATTACAGTGGATACATATGTACACCATATGCATACGTCACGTTGTTGACTTTGGCCCGTTCTAAGCCCTAACAGGCTAACTTTCCATGGGGTTCATGAGCTAGACCTCTGCACCTCCCTTAAATTTGTTTTCCATTGATTGAATTTGTTTCCCCATTATTTCCACCAAAATCCAGCCTTAATAATGATGGATCAAAACTATAATGATATTGTGTATACAGAATTGTGTATACATTGTACAGTATGTACATACATACAGTGGTTCACATGCAGGAAATATGCATACATGGGTTAAAGAAAAATGGAAATAAAATATAAGGTTATCAAATTTGGTGCTGTTTCCACAAATCAAAATTGATATTATTATTCACCATGCAAAACTGCAAAGAACTTATAAATGATAAGTTTATCTTATTTGAAAGAGCTTTTAAAATGATGTACAGTAAGCATGAAGATAACTTTCCATAGCGTGTTTGGTTTTCGAAATACCTTGAACAAAAACAGCGAAGAAATCCACCATCAGGGGTAGATAAACTTGGGACCAATGGTCACAGGCACATCAGAAAAGATACATAGTTTCTTGCAGGCACATTTACTAACAGAAGGTATCAAATAAAAAATGTATCTTAAGTTACAGTATAATTCTTAGTTTGTTAAAACCTTTATTATAACTGGCACACTTGAAGTTAAAATCTCAGTCCAGAGAAAAGTTACTACAAGTCTGGACGTATCCAGTTTCAATCATTTGAGTTATTGACGGGAAGTTAAATTAAACAATCAAAACTCCCATTCATGGACAAATAATTTTAGTCTTTATTATTGGTAGTAGTTACTGGAGAAAAAAGGACTGAGCTGAGTCAGCCAAGTCCCTTGCTTTCGCTTTTTTCATACAGACGTTTCGCAGGCACATCTCAAATATTTTTTGAGGTCCTAGGAACATAAAAAAGTTATTGATCCCTGTCCCACATTGACTCATGACGTCACCCACAGGATACTATATAATAGTAACGTCACAAACCTACTGTCTGTATATATCCCAGTCATTAGGTCAAATTTTAAAACAAGATGGCAGACATATATGTATATATACATACATGTATAAATGTTTGTACAACAAGATAAGGTGATAATCATCATAATATAATCTTTCATCATGCTTGCTGATTTAAACTGTTTCCTACAGCTATGCATAGATTGGCTGATAGATTGACACATTAATTTTATGGAAATAAAAGCAAAAAATGTTTCGTGGAAATGTATAGCTCCTTGCAAAAATACCGGTTTCTATTACGAAAATGGCACCCACAGACGTGGATTCTTGAGGGCTAAACACGATTTTTGATAAGTTATTGTTTGGCAGTGTACTGTATACAGTAGGTCCATTATGATTTAATGTGTTGTATACTGTCTGGTGAGGTATATATACAGTATATTAAATAAAGTACATATTTGCAGCCCCGATTAGCTCTATTGTGATCCTTGAATTCTGGATATATGTTTTGTAACTCCTGCTTGTAAGGTACATTGTTCATGGCACATTATACATTGCAAGTAATGATATACCTGATCAGCATGGGTTGGTCCAATATCTAATTTCAGACTTATTTCAGTCATAAAGGGTTTCATGATACAAGGAGGAGATTTCTCAAATCAAAATGGGACTGGTGGTGAGTCAATCTATGGAGAAAAATTCGAAGATGAGAATTTTGAAATGAAGGTAATATCAATAAAAATATGCCACATGCCCCCACACACACACACACACACACACACACACACACACACACACACACACACACACACACACACACACACACATAAGCGAGATGAAGTATTTTGTATACAGTACCCTTTACAGGTTCACAGTTTATAGAAATGAGACAGGATCTATGAACATCCACAAATGCTTGCATGTGTATGCTGGAAAGTTAGCCTGCGTAAGGGAACTTTTTTGACACTTGCAGCCCACATAAAACTCTATCAAATTCATGTCTGCCCAATTCAAGAACTTACAGACTTACTTTCCAGTTCATGAAAGAGGGGTACAACTTCGGTTAAATGAGGATAGTTAACGAGGATATAGATGATGAGAGTTGACAAGCGGGAGTTTCCATGGGAGTTTTTCTTTTAACCTTACGTATTATTCAAAACTTCCTAGCATGATAAACCTGGCCTACTATCCATGGCTAATTCAGGCGCGAACACAAATGGATCTCAATTCTTTATAACGTGTGAACCTACATCGCACTTAGATGGAAAACATGTTGTATTTGGTAAAGTAATCAAAGGAATGCATGTTGTTCGTACGTTGGAAAATGTTGACAAAGAAGGCGAAAAGCCGAAAATGGTAGGTAATTTAAAACTATAAGTCGAACATTCAACTACATTGGCGAACTTGGGCAGAGTACAGTATAATTAACCTAGAACTGGCACAATAGACAAAATAGGTACGCTAAGCGTACATGCGTCTGCTATCATGGTCAGACATTGCCAGCTCTTGATAACTGGACACATCATGCCATCATGATGGTGTCATTCATTTGTTTGAGCAAAATGAAATTATAAACTGAAATTAACGTTTCAGATGATTCTCACTCTGCTGTAGGGGTCGTTGTACAGTATGTTCATCAGTTTATGTATCAAATTCATTAAGCAGACTGTAAAACTGAAAAGAAATAAATTAACTCAAATGTCATGAGCCGTTCTGCGGTCACATTTTACTCCAGAACAACTCTTGAGGTCATTTTGAATTTATAGTTTGTGTAGTGATTCAATTATGCCTCGTTTTTATTACCTCCTTCCCCACTCCAATATCACCATCTTCAAATATTACATATTTGGGTATATTATGCGTGTGTGTATTGTACACTGTATGATATGTTGTTTGTTCTCCACAGCCGTGTGTCATAGCTGATTGTGGAGAGGTTCTAGCAGAAGAGGACATCATGACCGTAAAGGATGATGGAACTGGAGATACATATTCAGATCACCCAGAGGAATCGAACGTTCAATTTACTAAGGTACAACACCGCGCGGTCAAACGCATTTTGACTGCTTGTATTGGAAAGACTGCATGAAATAGTCTGTATTGTCTTCACCAAGCTCTAGCAAAAGATGTAAAGAAAATTACGAGAGTGTAAACTCAGTATAATTTCTTCAGACTTCTTCTCGCAAGGAAAAAGCCTAAGTTTATACATTCATGCTTCTTTTCCCCTTATTTACTCCAGACCAATTAGTTTGAGCCGCGTATCCGCTTGGCTGCCTTGAAGCAAATTAAATTAAAATTAACACAGCAAAATAAATAGAAGAAGTGAACATAATCTCAACTACAAAATCAGCAAAGTGTTTTACATTTAAAAGATTACAGTAGTTTCACACCATCGTATTGCGGGCTAAAATTTCTCCTGCCCGCCATTTTATGGGCCGAGTAGATCAATAGATCTAGAAAATTTGTTTTTCAATCCGTCTTATATTTAAACCACCCTCTGAGAATCCTTGCTTCTCTTATCTGATTCTTATTGGAAATGTACCAAACAAGGTATTTTTATAGTTATTTGTTGATTTTGGTTAAGATATAAAAACAACAAGAGCCCGCGATACCATGGTGTGACACTAATCCACTAAAATTATTCTCAATACTGCATGATACCAACAAAAAATTATTTTTACAGTACCATGCTGACGGAATACCAAAATCATAAACTTTTCTGTTCCGTCAGGCATTTTAATTACTATACTAACTGTTAGAAAAAAATTATTCGTAATAATTCATTCATGTTCGAAGTTGAAATGGTTCTCACATATACATTCTTCACCTGTTAGTTTAGCGAGGTCTTTGAGGTTGCAGAAAAGATCAAAACAATCGGAAATGAACAGTTCAAGCTAGGAAATTACGAAGTAGCGCTGAAGAAATATTTCAAAGCTATAAGGTATAATTTTGAATGAATTAACTAGCGTTACTATAATGTCCTTAGCTTGTGAATACGTTACAATATGATGCTTGTGATGTTACTCTGGGTGTATATCCACTAAAGGTGTGCAAATCCGATCCAAATCGGATTCGTTTGAATTTCGGAACAAAAATATACATTTCGGATCGGATTGATATAGTTGTTTCGTAGTCGGATCGGACTTCGATATTCGAAATAAAATGAATTAATTATCCACGCATTATTGCAAGAATTAATTATCCATGCATTTATCAAAGCATTATCGCGGTTGTCGCTGCATTTTTCGTTTGATACTTCAATTGGACGTCACTTTGTCAGCTTCTTGTCATGTATTTCTTGTTTTTATATTTATTTGGTTAAACATTTCAATTTGAATGAGAAATTTATTTTGTTAAAGGATTCTTCGGATCGGAATTGGAATTCTTTTTATAAAATAACATGTATATAACGTGTGCTCTGATTGGTCGAAACCCGTGTTTGGATCAGGGCATCCAAACACGGAAATTTAAAGTGAAAGTTTTTTAAAGTGAAATTTTAACACGGAAATTTCAAATACTTTTTTGCGAGTTTTTCGCGCATTTTAAATACTTTTTGTATCTGCGAAGCAGATATATATGCTATCGCAAACGTGCCGTGATCGTACCGTACCGTATGTTAGCATATAGCCATTCAGCGACGAGCTTATATAATTTAAGCCAATCAGCGATTATGTTACATCGTGTCCGCCTTCTAACCTGCGAACGGGCATGGTTTGGCCACAGAATAGGAAGTTATACCAGAAGCGTAACTCTAGTCGTTTCCCTTATTGTTTGACGTCCACGAAAATTTTAACTCGCTCACGTCAGGCCACGCCATCCTGGCTAGTACAGCCGGAAGTTTTTATCAGGATTTGGTAGGTACAAAGTGCCGGTTGTACTAGCCAGGATGGCGTGATTGATGACGAATCGCTTGTAAAAACGCGGACAAATATTTGCTCGAGTTACGCTTCTGGTATAACTTCCTATTCTGTGGTTTGGCCTCGTGTTATTCAGGTATTCTCGCCATTTTGGATTCAAAAATATCTTGAATTCGAATTGCTGTTTTTTCTCTCGCCATTCTACTATTAACATGGAAACTTATCCTCATCTGGTAAGTAGTCAAAATGTCAAATACCACATATTTTATTATATACATTTTAATATACAGTAAAACAATCGTTGTGTAATATTTTAAACAGTCAAAACATAGCAGGCAAGTCAGGCAATATTGCCAATGAACAATATTACATTATAATATAGCATTTGTAAATTCTGAACGCTGATTGGCTAAGAGCCGTGTTGATATAACTCAATGTCAACACGGGAAATTTTTCGCCGCTTGTAAACACGGACATTTTTCTTATCGTAATCCTTCGGGCTTTTGACATTGCTATATTATAAAAAAAATATAAAACATTTTTTCCGTGTTGATATATAGTTATATCAACACTCGTGGAAGTTGGGAAAACTCGAAATTGTATGAAAACACTCCACCCTTCGGGCGTCGTGTTTCCATACAATTTCTCGTTTTCCCAATTCCACTCGTGTTGATATAACTGTATATCAACACGGAAAATGTTTTATATTTGTTAAATATCAAAGGAAACTAATGTTCTAAGGGGGATTTTGAATTAAATCCTGGTCCTGTATTTCGGTAACTCTGTTCAAACTAAGCTGTTGTAGTGTTTGAGCAAAAGTTAAGATGTTATAAGCTAAAATACTTATACATTTTGGTTTTACACATTAGAGTATAAATCAAACAAAATTTTTACAAACATTTTCAAATGCTAATAAATAATCCCCACCCTCATTACATTGTCATTTTGCTTTCTAACATAAATGTTTTTTGTGTAGAGATTGATTCAAGAATGATGAATAAATATACTGGATATTGGCTGGATAATTTTGTCAGAACAATGGCCACTTGCAAGTCAATCTTACCTAAATTCATTAGTATGGAAAATAACTTAATTTAACAGCTACAGTAATCATATATCATATGGATAGATCAGATCAATTACACACAATGTGCAAAACTAAATTGTTTTTGTGTGGATATGCTGTGTTAAACCGAGCAGTGTGGTATATCTTATTAAATTATAAATTGTGAACGTAAAAATTTTGTATAACGTAATTGGCTCACGCTGTGTTAGTGTTCCTGAACTGTCTTCCTGTTTGTATATGTTTATATTTCTGTTGACGGCTGAAGTTAATAAATTAAATTAATAAATTAATCTAATCATTAACTGTGCACAGAATTGGAATTGAATTATATACTTCACTCATGACCTTCAAAACATTCCCTACTATTCAGTGGTCTTCGACATATGATTGACTCGTTGATACAGTAATACATGTTCCCCAAATAGTTTGTGTATGTTACTCAATAGTTAACATTGCCAAGTGTAAACAACAAGTGACAGAACTTTTGCTTCATATAATTACAATAAAGTTTTTGAAAATTCAATGAGTATGGATCAACAAGTGACAGTTTACTAAATAGCTGGCTGCCGGCTGTATAGACACTTCGAATATTGTTAGCATGAAATTTTTATTTCCTGACTGCATAATTATCCATTGCAACTTGATTGCAATCATAATCATATTATAAATTTAGTTACATTTTCTTGGCGGGGGGGCAGTTGTCCCTGCTGCCCTCCGTGCTGGTGTACAGCCATGTTAGATGTGAATTATGTTTGACTTTAAAATCCTATTTGCTATTATATTTATTATAATAAGTGATGAAATATTTTCTCATGTCATCATTATTCAGTTCCTTTCAAGAAAATACAAAATGCGAATCAAGTTTTTTCGCAGATACATGTACGCGTAGCGTACCTTTTTTTTTTGCATTTTAAATAGTTTTTCGCGCATTTTAAATACTTTTTTACGCGCTTTTCTTAACTCTCGCAACATTCCCGCGTGTTTGGATCAGGCAATCCAAACACGGAAACCATAAAGTAATTGTATAATCACAACTCGGATCGGATTAGACAATTTCGGATCGGATCGGATTTTAAACATTAGCCAATTGTCGGATTATAAACGTACAATCCGATCCGATGCACACCTCTAATATCCATACCGGGCAAACTTGAAAAATATGCCTGGCCACGGTGGGAATCGAACCTACGACCTTTGGAATACTTTTTCAAGTTTGCCCGGTGTGGATGCACGCTCAGAGTAACATCACAAGCATCATATTCACCTGAGTACATAACACCAACACAGAAAAAAATCACGTTGCAATATATTGTAACGAAACACAACCTATTTTAAGAGACCACTTTTGTCATTCTCAGGAAAGTGGTAATCGTATAGTGTTATGTCTTTCCTTTCCGTCTTCCCTAGAATGCTCATCGGCATTTTTGTCTTTTCTGATAGCTGCGATGGATGCATGCAATGTTTTGTTTGGGACAATCTCGAACGTTGAGGGACAATGTAGGTTGCGAAGAACAGGGGCGTGTCGAGCGCCCACCCCAATGTTAAACGTAAGAAATGTTCGAATTTCCCGTTAAAGTATTTGAAGATTGAAGCTATAAAATAATATAGTCAATTCAATACAAATATAATGACGTTTGCGCTAACCACTGAGTATTTTAATAAAATATAGTACAATGCCAATGGAACTCCGAAAATTTCATTGTTATTGTAATTCAAGGTTTCGACTATAGTCATCCTTAGGAATTTTGAAAGCAACTAGTTGTTATGAAAGTAGTTGCTTTCGTAATTCCTGAGGAAACGTAGAATTATAATAAAAATAGGTTCGCAATGCGTACATGTGGCTAGCCTGGTAAACTTTAACTCCCCAAACCCTCCTCCAAACCCAGAAAGCCTGCCATGCTGGTTAACTTTAATAGTAATAAGAAGACACACCACGATGGTCAGAATGCGCAAATTTTCTCCCACTTGTGCGGGCTCATTTTGTCAGTGGAGTTTCACGGTATACTTGAAAAATACCGTGTCATATCTCGTCGCTTCCCATGCAAATAGCGAATTCAAACACTTGAATATAAAACACAAATATGTGAATTTGCACGCTAGGCAAAGCACGCTAGTTTGCCCTTCTTTAAAATACCAAACATTTCGAATGCAATTGAGATATGAAATCTCAACAAGAAGACAATTCAAGATGGCAAATCAGTCAAAAGTGCAAATCAAAACCCATATTTACACGGCGAGTAGGCGCAATTTGTGATCGGTTTCGACACCATAGGTTGAAGCCATGAAGATAAACTTTATTTTAGTTTTCTGGTTTAACAACTGCGTCGTAACAACATCACTAGTATTGCCTCGAAATGCAAATGTGAAATGTCGGCAGAAAAATACGGGCGCTTCCGATTGCTCCCGATACTTTACGAAAATCCGGACTGGACACCATCATCATCGCTCATCGCGTTTGTGTATGTGATAGTGGCCCGCAAACGGGCTAGCCACAAAAATGAAAATTGTCATTGTTTCCATTGTAGTGTACTGTATAATGACGTTTTATGTTAAGAGTAAAGAATGTTTGAAATTATTAGTGTAATCAAGTTTTAACTTTCAGTTGACGAACTGTCAACCAGCACTCCAAATGACTGAAAATCCCATTTCGGTTGGTCTAAATCCCCGCTCCCCAGACTCCCTAGTTGGGTGGTGCCACAACCTTTTACTGTGGTCGCTCCGCCCAAAATAGCCGAGCTCTATTCGCCCCTGGCGAAGAATACAAACTACGAACATGTGTGTATGATGCAGCAACCTGTAAAATATATAATGTGAAATCTCTAACTAAATATAGTCAGGGGTACTCGTCTTTGCGTGACTTTTATAAAGCTTTGGTAAGAAGGCATACTACAGTAGACAGGATAATGGGTATTTTTTGTATTATATAGTAATTTGAAATAGATTGTATACGTAATATGGTTACGTTTATGTATATAAATATCCTGATTGGACAAGAGATTTCAAACGACTCTACATAAAGCTTAACACAGCAGTTCAATGATGAATAATTTCCATGCTTATACTGACGTTTAATGCTGAATATCGACCTTATACTGAGAACTGTTGTGTACATGCATGTATATTGAAGTTCGAAATTCCTCTTTTAAACGTTTGGCCTTTTTGGAATTAAATAACTATTGTTCGTAGTGTCTGTGGTTGTTCTTGTTGTTCATGTTAATATATTTAGTTATATAATATCTTATTTTATATATGGCAAGCATCACTTCCGGTGAAATGGCGAACTGTGATTGGCGGAGAAGCACTTTCAGCGGTCCATTATTTTCCCGTAATGGCCGCCCGTAAAAAACAAACGCATGCATTTTAAAACAAAACAGCAAAACTAATTGAAAATTTGAAAATTATAGATTAATAAGATATCTGCATGCGAATGGGTTTTAGTGGAAAAGAAGGAATACATTGGTGTTTTTTTGTTTTCTTCGGCCAAATGTGTACCACGCTACTAATATCCATTTCAAATCATGCATTTCTTGTTTGTTTCAAGTATAAATGCCTATGAATGCCATATAATAAACTTTTTATTAACCTCACTTGCTCGGTATACGTGCAGAGAAATATCGGACCTCTGTCTTTTTGTAGAAACCTCGCCCTAGGGGCTCGGTCTGTACAAAAAAGACCTCGGTCCGATATTTCTCTCTACAGACTTCGCATTTGGTTAATAAGAAGTTATTATTATATGGCAAGCATCACTTCCGGTGAACGCCAGGACTGTGATTGGCTGAGAAGCACTGTCAGTAGTCCGTTATTTTTTTCCCGTAATGGTCCATTACGTAAAAACAAACGCATGCATTTGAAAACAAAACAGCAAAACTAATTGAAAATTATAATTTAATTTGTTATTAATAAGATATCTGCGAATGGTTTTAAGTGGAAAGGAAGGAATGCATTGGTAATTTTGTTTTCTTCGACGAAATCTTTACCACGCTACTAATATGCATTTCAAATCATGCATTTCAAATCATGCATTTCTTGTTTGTTTCGAGTATAAATGTCTAAAAATGCCATATAATAAACTTTTTATTAACCTCGCTTGCTCGGTTTTTACAGAGAAATATCGGACCTCGGTCTTTTTGTACAAACCTCGCCCTATGGGCTCGGTCTGCACAAAACAGACGTCGGTCCGATATTTCTCTGTAAAGACCTCGCGCTCGGTTAATAAGAAGTTAATAATTAATTTGGCTATTGGGCTCTTGCAAATGACGTCACCACACGTATTTGTTGACTTCTGTCATTTTGGGTAGCAAATTTAAAATAGTTAATTAAAAGCAAACATGGCGTCAAAGCAAGACTGTGGCACTAACTGCGGCTGTTGCTTTTGTTTGAGAACTTTGAAGAGTTAGAATGGTTCACAGCTGTGTAGTCAGTCGGTTGAATAAAATATTTTTTGCCATCCAAAATGGCGGATTTTTTTACGATGCGTCATACTGCAAGACCTGAATATACATGATATAATGTAATTCTTGCTCCTCTGCTCTTGAACAATTTAGTTGGTTCCGAACTCGTACCTCTAACCAAACACTTTCTTCAAAAAAGCCTAACCTTAGCTCGATCAGTAAAGAGAAAATTAGTATAGTTAACTCAGTTAATAGTATCTAAAACTTTATATGAATAGCAATAATTTTGTTTTCCCTTTAGATACTTAGAGCACATTGATTCCAACATTTCGTCTTCATCTGATAATGAAGATAATAAAAATGACAAAGAGAAAGCGATGACGGTGGTCTTACCTTGTTACTTAAACAGGTAAAAAAGATTATTTTGTTGTTACCATGGTCAGATATTCTCATCAGACCTGGAACTTCCATAAAACCTCTCCATGCACGGCAATTACGTCATATATGTCGCATGCATCGTAGAAATTTATTTTCTGTATTTACGATATTTGTTACGGTTAGCAACACTGGAAAAAGTAGCATCTATTCACAAAGGCATAAAGAAATTTTCTAAGATTTGTACAGACTGCTAATATAATACCAATTCCCTAAAAATTTATACTACGGCAAAAAAACCACCGTCGTTGTCCACACTGATTCACGGCATTTTCCTCTCGAACTACGATCAAATTGCCACGAGTGCCGTGATAAAATTCCAGCGCTAGCCTGATGCTAATTGTAATTGTTTCTTCACTCAAAGTCTTTGTACAGTACGTACATGAGTTAAACTTAATATATATTGTTTTTTATTATATTTAGCGCAGCTTGTTATCTTAAACTTAAGAATTATGAAGAGGCAGTTATCAATTGCAGTGAAGTAAGTATTCCATTTAATCGCTATTACTTTTCTTCTTAGAATACCCCAAATACTACACATGCCAAGAATCACATTTGGGGTTATAGTCAGGACTCAGTGGCACTTTAACCAGTCTACTGTTGAGCAGCAAAACATGATTTGGATGATGGTTATAATGAGGAGACATATTTATATTGTTATATATTTTGTAGGTGCTTGATCATTATGAAAAAAGTAACGTTAAAGCTCTATTCAGAAGAGGCCAGGCGTACTCGTCGTTACGTGATTTTGATAAAGCTTTGGTAAGATTGTAGGCAATTTTCAATTTACTGTAGTATACGTTAAGCTCAACGTCATAGCAGTTCAATGATGAATAATTTCCATGCTTATACTGATGTATAATGCTGAATATCGTCCTTATACTGAGAACTGTTGTGAATATTGAAATATTGCCCGAGGGCGAAGACCCGAATTATTAACAATTCAGGTGATATTTCGTCGAATCCCCTGAACGAAGGATCTATAAATTGCTACTAAGAAGCCACTAATTCTAATTTGAGAATATAAACTTGCTAAGTGCATTATGCAGGGTGCATTAAACTTGAGTGCATGCATTATCTTTTCTATCTTGAAGGTAACATACTTCCTGAACCCTAGAATTATGATTGTGGTCAACCGTATAGGGTTTGGGTTAACCCTAGGGTTAGGGTTGATGTTCACCATTGGGTTTGGGTTAACCCAAAGGTTAGGATATAGGGTAGGGGTTAGCCGTAACTCATCGCTCTATGTTGTCGGCCATCTTGCAGTTGTACGCGTGATAACACAAATGTCGGCCTTGATAATATTTCATATCATGCTCAACATTATTCACTAATTGTTCATTATTTACTCGTATTTATCAAAATATTGTGTTTAACGTTTGTACTGCAACTGCCTCTTTTTGATATTACTATAGGATGATCTTCATTGTGCGGCCAAGCTAGCACCCACAGATAAAGGTTTGTTGACATTCTATTTGGAAATTTCCCGTTTTCTTCAGGGCTTACATTGTTGTATTTTGTTTCACTTTTTATCGCTAAACACTCACTAATGTAAATAGAAGCAATTCAATTGCATTGTTTGATAATAATGTGATTGCCCATCACTGCAGCGATGTCATTTTGCATAAGTTGTCAAATTATAGAATATGATGTTGAACATTTAATTTAATGTTCATGCAAGGTTATTCATGATGTGGTGATGCTCCTTTATTATATTTTGTCAAGTATTTTGAGATAAGTGCAAATATCTGGGTATCAGAGTATCCATTGGAAGATATTTTAAAGCTTTCCACAAGGTGTCCACGAGCCTTGAAAATCCTGGAAAGTCCTTGAATTGGTAGAAAAAAATACAGGGCCAGGTTCCAGGGCTGAAAAAGGGCCTTGAAAGTCCTGGACGAAAGTGCTTGAATTTCACCTTCACCAGAGGGTGGACACCCTGTTTCAGATGTTTTCCAGTCATGCGTTTTTGATACGCACGTGGAAGTTTAAACTTTTCGAAAATATATATAATTAAATACTAAATTCCATACTTGATTATTTTATAAACTTTTCCGTGCGTGTACGTACGTGGTAAAAGCGTATGACTGGAAAGCGGCCTTAAGTAAGGGGGGGGGGGAGGTTGAAATTTGTGGAGGGCGGCGGTAAACCTGGGGGTCTGGGGGCATGCTCTCCCGGAAAAATATGGCGCCAAATTGAAGAACTTGGATAAAAAGATATTACAAATGATAAAAAGGTATTACAGCCATGGATGGAAACTCGATGGAAAAGAGCTCACTCTTTTTAAAAGAAAATACCTATCTATATAATGTCCATCTGTATATAACATGACTTGCATAGCAAATATATTTACACCATATCTATTTTAGGGTGGCTAAACCCCCCACCCCGTATGTGCAGAATATCAGGGGCCCAAGCCAACCCCTCCCTTGTTCCTATACTATTATTAGTTCATGGAACGTTATATTCACTTTTTTAAAGGTATTCGAAATGAGATAACTCGAGTGAAGAACCAAATCAGAGGTCAGAAAGAAAAGGAGAAACAAATGTATTCAAAAATGTTCGCTAGCTGACAACATTTTACCACGTATAATTATTATAAAATTTAACATGCATTTATGTAAGCAGAGCTGCGCATTTGACAGCTTCAGCCTTGAAAAGCTCTTCCCACCATTTGGCAGTGCTAATAGCCTCATGGTAAAGATGCGCCAAGTTTCATTTGAACTTTCATCCCGGCAACTGCATGGGCTAGCCCGCTTATGAGTGTTAATATGGACAAATTTCCATCCCGGTAAGCGAGATCTCGCCTCTTTCAAGCGAGATCTCGGCAACCGGGCCAGTCTGCTTGTCCATATAAATGCACGATAAATTTTACTATAAAAATAACTACACAGCGAGATCTTACTTAGCGGGCTGTCTCGCTTTGCGGGCCAGTCCGACTTCCATATAGACAGGCCCTTAGACAAGATTTTTGTAAACATTTTACGGTCTTTAGTTACTAATGTTGAAGGATATGAAATTTCTTCCAAATTCTGAAAGTCTAATTATACTCTTTCAATTGAGCTATAACTTTCTACCAGGTGATATATTTACCAGTTGAAAAACACTTAAAGTGTACTTAAACCGCGTTCTGTCAGCATGCTAAAATAACATCAAATAACTTTCGTTAATTTACAAGCAAATCCTCTTTAGCTGAGTGGTTACAGCCAATTGCAATTGACCGTGAGGAGACGCACATTTGTTCATTGGTTCAACTTGATGTTTATTTAATGAAAATTGACGTTAGTTTATGGAACTCTACCGATGAGAATGTACTAATGAAATGCCTTAGCGCTAGGTTTTGTGTTGACCTAGGACACATCCTCGGTCCCAGGGCCTCACGGCTGACACTCAACCATGAGGCCCTCAATCTCGTACCCAGAGCAATTTCCTGTGCTGTGATTGGTTTAACGTTTGTCAATCGTGCATGCCGACAAAGAACCGGAACCCCTAAATTTAGGGACAACCAAAGAGAAGCAAGAACAACCAAGAAGAATCAAGGACAACCAAAGAGAAGCAAGGACAACCAATGAGAACCCAAGAAAATCAAGAAGAAGCAAATAGAACCACTTAAAACCAAGGAGAAGCAAGTACTGTCTAAAAGAGTGTGGCACTTGGTCATTTTCGACCTGAAACAATGGTTACAATATTTTAATACCCGATATTCTTTTGGACTGAAATTACTTTATTTGGCGCATCAGGGAGCGTGGGCAAACTATTTGGCAACTGGATACCTCGAAGAAAGCAATTTTAGCAGTTTGAATATGTTAGGTATATGTGATGACACATAAAGTTTGCTTTGAGTTTCTTGAAATATATTTGAAATTTGCGTATATATCTAACCGTATCAATTCATTTATATAATCGTTGCTTCTGCAGCTAATATACAGCTAGAATTTCATTGCATTTATGTGGTCAGTGTTTCAATAATAATCTGCACAAGACATGCAATTTTTGTCTGAATATATCTTATTATAGAAAGAGAAATACTGCCCTATTTGTTGATGTCAACTGTAATAGCAGTGATGTACTGAGACGTTGCGACCCAATGGGGGGGGGTCATCTGCAGCCTCTTCGAGGGTAGTGGGGCAGAGTAGTGTTTATTTCATTGTAACAGTAAATCGTAATAATTACTGCACATGTATAGAAGGAAATACAGAGCGAGATATAATATGAACACATTTTAAATAGGTGCTGCATAGCCTGCGTGCAGGCCCAAGGGAACTTGATAGTGGGCCTGCAACCATCGCCCGGTATTTTGAAATACGGCCCTTTTCATAACACGCCCCATTCGCGCGTCAATTGTCAAAAAAGAACCAATGACAGCACCCAAATATTAACAAACAAACTCGCATTAAAATATTGCGGGGTTTTCTCTGCTTATTCAGAACACTAATAAACAATGTGTAAATGGCTGCGTTTTAACTCAAAAAAAGCAAGCAACGCAGTCAGTAATTGCCAAATTTGCAAGTGCTCATTTTCAACTAAAATCGGAACAGGCAAATTAGGACGAATTTCAACAGAAAACCAGTCTCAAACTTCAAATCATGAGGGAAGTCGGGCGACTACGGTGGCCCACAGGTGTCAGTACACACACAAAATCGAATACCGAAACCAAAGTCAAAAACGTAATTCTAAACTTAAAACACTAGTCCAAATTATCAACTCACAATTCAAAATTATCAACTCGCAATTCAAAATTGTCAACTCACAATTCAAAATTATCAACTCACAATTCAAAATTATCAACTCACAATTCAAAATTGTCAACTCACAATTCAAAATTGTCAACTCACAATTCAAAATTGTCAACTCACAAATTAAAATTGTCAACTCGCAAATTAAAATTGTCAACTCACAATTCAAAATTGTCAACTCACAAATTAAAATTGTCAACTCACAAATCAGAGAAATTGTCAACTCACAATTCAAAATTGTCAACTCACAATTCAAAATTGTCAACTCACAATTCAAAATTGTCAATTCAAAATTGTCAACTCACAATTCAAAATTGTCAACTCATCAACATGCCGGGACACAATAATGGGCAGACATGAAGTATTTTTGCCGTGTGTTTTGATGTTATGTACTCAGGTGAATATAATGTAATATAATACTAAAATCATGATCATAGAACACATTGGTCATTGGTATCGAAGGTACTAGACGTAGTTCCGAAATACCACACACTCGAACTGTTGGCCTCGTAGCTCAGTTGGCAGAGCATTGGACCACAGAATAGAATATATTTTATTTTCTATTCTGTGATTGGACTAGTATCCCAAAGGTCGCGGGTTCGATTCCCACCGTGGTCAGCTAACTTTTCAGCCTGCCCGGTGTGGATATATTATACACTCAGTGACTCAGAGTAACATAAAAAAATTAAGACATGAAGGACATGAAGTAGTTAAAGATATGGGTAATCGTTCCGTGTTTCACGCACCAATATAGTAAACGTTATGTAATGGATATTATAGTGTACTGAAAAGTTAACTGGATACCTCCATACACATATATACACACCCTAACCTTAAACCTAACCCCTAACCTAACCCTTAACCCTAATACCTAACCCCTAACCCTAACTTATTATAAGTTATATTGGTGCGCGAAACATGGAACGATAACCAAGAAAGGTATGCGCGACCACCTGTGCTTCCACTATAAAAAATTCCTTCTCAACTGCTCAAAATTTTCTTATTTTTTACAAAATTTCCTTGCTCTAAAGTTGATGAATTTTACCTACTTTAAAACTGATATTACAATAATTTATCCTGAATAACGGCGTGTTTCTCGGGCGAGAAGAATCATGGACGCTGCAGGGAAGGGATTGTCAAAGGGGAAGTTGACGTAAAATTATTCAAAGTGGAAGAAACAGGGGGCTTGATCTATGGGCTTGATGAGGTCATCCCTTAATTGGTGATTTCTCAACATGTTAATTGTTGTTTTGCATAACTTATGTTCATAAGATGTAACATCTACCTTGAAGGAAATTAACGATGCACTTTATTAACGCGACGTAAACTTACATTATCTAATTAACGCGAATTTCTTCTGGGTCTTTTAAAATTTAATTATATTTACGAGAATCTTATCTTCATCAACAAAATGTTAATTAATAACAATAGTGACAATGAGGGTACTGACGAATCGGTTGTGATATTAGGGAGTTTTAGATTTGACTACGAGTACGACTACGAGTACGAGATTCGTCAAGCGAAACGCATGCTGTGTGCTTACGCCATCCGGTACTGACGCGAAAAAGTCGTAGCCGTCGTACGAAAATGTACGAAAAAGTACGAAATTGTGGAGAAATTTCGTAGTCCTCACTACGACTTTTCAAAAAAAAACAAAGAAAGTTGGCTTTTTTTGTTTTCCAAAAGTAATTTGTAGCATTTGTATAGCGTTTATCTGGCGCAAATAATATATTAGTACTAAATATCTGGCCTGTTTTTAATGTTATGACTTATTTGCACGTTTTCTAGGGGATTTTAGTGTGCAAGAGATTTAGTTTATGAAACTTTTTCCCTCATTGTTGGTTTACTGCTATAAAAGCAACATTTGTATGAAAACGAAAACGACTACGGTAATTTCCTAGCACGCGATCAAATCTCGTACTCGTAGTCGTACTCGTAGTCAAATCTAAAGCTCCCTAATGAATTGAGTGACGAAGACTGAGGTTTTTAGTTTACATTGTATGTTGATTTTTTATATTAAAAGAGTTCGTGTTAAATAAAACAAATTTTAATTAATGATAACTGAAATTCGCGACACATCAAATTAATTGTGATAATTCTTAAAATTCGCATTAATATAGTGCATCGTCAATTTAGTTGTTGTAAATTCCTGTTGAAAAGTTAATATTAAAAGTTCATATTAATTAACTGCGGTTATTACTGTGATAAAAGAATAGCTGTATTATAATTATAATTATATTTTATGAATATGTAAATTAATGGATTATATAAGGAGCCCAGAGTTTGAAGCGAGCAGAGGAAAAACAGGACAAGCAAGGAAGGAGTTCCTAAACATTAAAAAAAAACCGACGAAGACCTTCAGGAGAAGAACAACTTGGAAGGACATCTTGCTTTTGTTGGAAGTATACTGAAGTTCGCTGACTATATACGCTCAAGTTCATTTGAGATCGACAGAAAACCATCTCGAAGCGATTTAAGAATATTCAGATTGTTAGCAAGTTTCGTCACGCTTTTGTTCCTAAGACCTATCCGTTGAAATTCTCAACAAACAAGATACGACGCTGTTATATGTTTGATACTACGCGGAAAGTTAAGCGCTGTGGGCTAGCTGAAGAAAGAAGACGTAGCTACACTCTGTTGGACTCGGGTTTGTTAAAAATAAATACTTTAGGAAATTAGATAACTCTTAGTAATTACAGAATTAAAACCTTTATGTTAATTGTAGTACAGTGGGTTTTATTGACTTGTGTTATTGTGAACTGCAGCGCCCACGTCGGCGATAGAAATCGTCACAATTACTATAACATGACAAAAGAAAAAAGTAATATAGAAATTCAACCATATTACATAGTATATACCATAAATTGTTGTTGATTAATTAATGTCAATTAGCATAAATTATTTTCCTGTCTTTTTAAGCAGATCTAATGATTCAAAAACTAGGTGTTGTAATTCAGTAAATGTTCAAACAAATTTAGACGTTCCTTCCAATTTCTCGGTTTTGCCAGCTGTTGAAGGTCAACAATATAATTAAAGTAACTTTGGTAATCATTATCCACAATAGGCTCTTCACAATGAGAAGCTACCACTTCCAGTTGTGCATCGGTAACTGGTTGCATTTGGTCTTCACCTCCAAAGGTTTCAGGCAAGAAAAAAAGTTCGTCAGGTTTCCCTGCGATTGTATCGTGTCTTGATTGACGAATGTAATGAGTGTTCCAATGAACCCTGAAAAAATCTAAGTCCTGTTGTAGAATTTCATTGAAACAAAACCAAAGACATTCATTATGATAAATGTTACCACTTATGTACACCCCTCTTTCAGATAAATCCTTAAAAAAGTTTATCCACCATGATGTACGACTTCGTCTCAAACTGGACCACCAGCACTCAATTCGCTGATTTGCTGTTGATGCAACATAACGATGCGCCTTTTCACCGGCAAGGTCATCTGTACCATCACCTCTCAGATAACACTGCAAGGTTGCTATTTCAACATTTTCAGTGCCAGGGTCTGTTGATAAAATTCTTGGGCAACCACCTAACTCCTCGATGCAGTCATGATAATATTTAGCAAATTACAGCTGGGTTACTATTAGTTCTTGTAACCTTCAACCATAGCATGCGACGGCTATAACCATCTATGGCGCCATGTAGTGGAAATCCAAATGGCTTCAGTTTGTCGTAACCGTCAACATGCCAGCACTGGTTTGGTCCAGGAGATTTGTATTCTCTTCTTTTCAGCCTATGACGCTTCCGTTGCTCTGTTCCAACAGGATCTATCTCCTTCAGTAATGCTTGCACACGAGCTCGTGGAACACACATTCTATATTTAAGACGAAGAGTGTGCCATAATGTTCTATATCCCGAAACACAGCTTGGCCCATCGATTTCTTTCCTAATATATATAATCTCCATAAGCTCATTATCGCTTACTTCGTCGCCTGTTTTTCTTTTTAGTTCATACTGCTTTAAACGCCTTTTAAGTGTCGACAATGACATCGTGATGCCATGATGCTTACTTAGGAAACATAGTATTGTATCGTATTCATACCCTGCAAAGAAGTAACTTTCAATTGCTTCTTTCTCACCCTCAGCTTCAGAATGCACTGTAGTGGAATCTATCTCACCCTCTGCCGATGGACGTGCAGTTCTTGTACCGCAATTTGGGCAAAAATTAAACGTTTCCTCTAAGTTGTAACCGCATGATGAACAAAACATGCCACAATCGTAGCCACAAAAGATTCTGTACGGCCATGTTGTGTGCGAAAACACTGGTGGCCTGGGGAGTTGATAATTGTGAGTTGACAATTTTGAATTGCGAGTTGACAATTTTTAATTTGCGAGTTGACAATTTTGAATTGTGAGTTGACAATTTTGAATTGTGAGTTGACAATTTTGAATTGTGAGTTGATAATTTAGACTAGTGTTTTAAGTTTAGAATTACGTTTTTGACTTTGGTTTCGGTATTCGATTTTGTGTGTGTACTGACACCTGTGGGCCACCGTAGGCGACCACATTAGGATTTATATTATGTGTGCTTCGCTGTCGCCATTGGCATTGTTATAAAATAAATTGTCTCACTTATCAGATCGTGTGTGCAATTCTTGTTGGCGGCGGAAAGTACGAAATTTATTTCATTTGGTAAAGAACTATACAAAAGAAGAGAGCGTTCCGAGTCCAGATCGTTTCGTTTCAAACGGCAATTTAAAGGGAAATGGCAATATATTTTGTTATTTTCTCATTTGAAAGAACTTTTGAAACTATTTAATAACTTCTTTTACCGATTCGTCATATCTTGCTTAGTTCTTGAAATATTTTCACTTGAAGTAATGACATGTCAGCCATCTTGGATACATTTTTTATCTCATTAACGGTAGTCTTGGTGACGTCACAACAGGGATTAACCATATAAAAGTATCCGTTGCTGACCAAATATTGATTGGTAGATGTTTTAAAGGTTTCAAGTGATCTTGATATTTCCAAGCGCATACAGAGTATAATTTTGAGTGCAAAATGATTAGTGGTTGTCTAGATAAAAATATTGCATGACCCCTGTTGTGACGTAACATGCATATCGACAAAAATCCAAGATGGCGGACGTTTCATTTCTTTCGATTAAAATATTTGTAGAAGGAAGCAAGATATGAAAAAACGGTAAAAGAGTTTTCTATACGATTTTAAATGTTCTTCCAAACGAGAAAATAAAAAAATATATTGCCATTTCCCTTTAATACCGCCTTCTGTTTCGCTCTCTCTGCGAAGCCTTGTAAATCGCAAAGTGTTTCGAATAGGCTTACAGTTCTTACATGCAACTGCATCTCAACATCAACCAAACGATAATTTTCTTGAGGAAGTGAGAACACATAACGTATCAACTGAAGTCTGTTTGAAATTAATGAAACTCAAGTAAAGGTTACTATAGTTTACCCCAGTCGTAATGTTGCTATTCCAACACCTCACGACAAGCAATCCCCATTGGCATAACGGCAAAAACATGTCTTCCTTCAAGTAAACAATAAACAGTCTGTTCTTGTTCCATTTGTAATCGAAAAAAGTGATCAATTTTCAAATTTTAAGCTTATCGAGAGCCTTTGTCTATGCCTTTGTGATGAATCACTGTTCCCTTGTGCCTGCACGCTAGGTTAATTAATTACCGATCGCCTCAGCTAGCCAATGGGAATTTAGCCGGCGGTTCGGCCGGCGAAAATCGAAAACATGGGGTGATGGTTGCAGGCCCACTATCAAGTTCCCTTGGGCCTGCACGCAGGCTAGGTGCTGCACAGGCGGCCCAATCTCGCAAGGGTCAGTATAGACTTATACTGTAGTATAAATGTATATTATATTAATGTATATAATAGTAAAAATATGTCGTAAAATATAAATTTTAAAATGAAATTGACTTGCCTATTTGATAGTGTGTGTTCTCCTTTTATTCCTCCTTTGTTGGACTAATATTTTCCGAGACTTTGTACTCGATGTTACTAGTATACATGAAACATGATAAAGGCTAACGATTCCCGATCGTCGATACGACGGCACGGCACTTCGAATCGAAAATTCTCACACTCAAATCGCTTTATTCTCAAAAAAAATTCGCCAGCATGTACAACAAATGCCGTTCTTCGAAAATGCAGAGGTACTTCGGCGAGATGTACAAGTTTTGGACCATATTTTAACAATGGAAATCAAAACCCATTTTATATTGAACTTACCCGGACCGAAAATTACTACGGCGAACGTCTGCGCAACCAGGCCTCCTTTACCGTTGAATTTACAGGGGGGAAGCAGATATTTCCGATAACAGCCAGCCAATCGCGGCCGCGTAGCGACTGTTTACATTATTTGAAATTTGATATTCAAAATAAAAACTCCTTCGATCGGATACTGTATAAAACTCGAGATGTTGTCGAAGAAAAGAAAATTAAACGACGGAGATAGAAGAAATTTAAGGAAGAAGTAATATACAGCGGCTCTTTGTTGGAAAGTATGGTAGAATATGATACTTTAATTCGAAATATTATCGTGAATATATTAGTGGCATCCTCCCCCATGTAAATCCAACGGTAAAGGAGGCCTGGTTGCGCAGACGTTCGCCGTAGTAATTTTCGGTCCGGGTAAGTTCAATATAAAATGGGTTTTGATTTCCATTGTTAAAATATAGTCCAAAACTTGTACATCTCGCCGAAGTACCTCTGTATTTTCGAAGAACGGCATTTGTTGTACATGCTGGCGAATTTGTTTGGAGAATAAAGCGATTTGAGTGTGAAAATTTTCGATTCGAAGTGCCATGCCGTCGTATCGACGATCGGGAATCGTTAGCCTTTATCATGTTTCATGTATACTAGTAACATCGAGTACAAAGTCTTGGAAAATATTAGTCCAACAAAGGAGGAATAAAAGGAGAACACACACTATCAAATAGGCAAGTCAATTTCATTTAAAAATTTATATTTTACGACATATTTTTACTATTATATACATTAATATAATATACATTTATACTACAGTATAAGTCTATACTGACCCTTGCGAGATTGGGCCGCCTGTGGGTGCTGCACATGTCACTGTACAATACACATGTACATTACTATATATTTGTTATGTTTTACTATATATTTTAAACAAGTTACCGATGTCTTTTTTATAATAATAAAAGTATGTATACTTTGTATTATTAACAGCAGTAAGCCAGTAACATGTTGAAAATTTGAACATGTTACTGCTGTTTATTGCCGAAGGCAGCACACTATTCTTAACATGAAGTATCGCGTTTACTTGTGTCCAGTCTCTTTGCCCGAGCTATGTATTGTCGAGATCTCGATTTTGCAATCTCGTTCCCCGAGCCTGCGATCCTTGGGAAGGAAACGAAGGCTCTGGGATAATCCATCTCAGAAATGAATATGATTGGTTGCTGGTGTACAACGGAATGTTGCAATTTTGCAAAAATTAATTTTTAACCGTATATTTTTATATACAACATGGCGGCCGTTTAGGAGTGTACGAATATTGTTTTGGTTTTTCAGAGCTGTGCTATATACTAATACTACAAAGGAAATGCAAAGAAACGTATACTTAATGCGTATAATATTACAACAGCTAAATGGAGCGTGAAAACTTTACTCATATTTGTGTTGTACAGGTTTTCTGTAGTTTTAATCTATACATAGTATAGAGTACTGATTACTGTCAGTACATTGTACACTGTACTATTATATGTGCTATATTTTGCAAATAATATTTGTGTCAGAAATGGTTAATAACTTTTATTAATTTGTCTTTGTGTTATTTAATTGCGAAGAACTAGTTAATGACTAGTTTCAATAAATCCAATCTTGGGATTTACTGTTATATATTTGATTATTTAATGTATATACTGTGCTGTAAACTTTTCAAGTGCAGGAGTATGTAATACTCATTTTAACTTGTAGCATGTAAGCCTTCCCTATATGGGTGCATATGAATCTTTTGCTGTTATAATTTATTTATAGAAGAGTTCAAAAAACCTTTATTCTCTAAATAAACCACAATTTCACAGGCAGTGATATTAACTTGTATTCCAGTCTGCATACACCTAATGCACCTATCAATGTTAACACCCGAGGGGGGGTCGGGCATATGTGGGGTATTTGATCATCAATTGCATCCCCACCCTGGGGATTTTGAATAGCATTTTGGCCCCGAGTTGGGGCAATTTGAACCGAATGACTTTTATTAACATAGTATTTATTGCAAAATGGTGGGGCATTTGACCAATATTTATTGCCTGACGGTGGGGCATTTCATTGAAAATTTGCTCTAAAAATCAAATGCCCCACCTGTGCCCAACCCCCCTCCTCTGGGGCTTAACATTGATAGGTGCATACTGCATAATACATATAATGAATTCTTGGGTTTCACTATGGCATTTTGCACGTTCTGTCATTGGATGGGGGGTCAACCTACTGAAATAAATGTATTGATGCCTATGTTGTACTGGAGTGAGCAAATGATATGAAATTACATGTATTTGCTACCAAACACAAGGCCAACACATACAGTGAAAAATTAATTCACTCTGATGACTGTGTCTCGATTTAGAGTTGACCACCCATCAAATTTATGAAGTCATATGAAACACAATAATATACAGTATTATATAACTGACAGCTAATTGTAGCATAAAGTATTTAATGATTTTAATTTATTGAGTAGCACAATATGCCAAATTGCCAATCCCTTTGTTAATCTTGTCCACACAGTAATTCAAAGAAGCCCTGCCCTTGTACGAGGTTGTATTAATTGGATTCTGTCCAAGAAAACATCATAAACCTTTTGATCCAGATGTTACAAAGTATGAATTTCAGATTGGGAGACCATATAAATATTTTAAATAAATTCATATACTTTTTTTTAAGAAATGTTCTATTCATATTAAATGACAGTGATCGGCCACCAAAACCAGAATTCATTTTCATCAGCTTCCCCCTGGTTATGACCCCCTGCAGGGAACCACCTAGGGTGCAATATAATTTTGTGATGAATGATAAAAAATTGCCCAATATAAATGCTGAGCCATAGAAATATTTTTATTACCATGGTCATGACAACTACCCTGTCAGTTTGATTGCAATATCAAAACTTGTTATTTACACTATAAAACAACACATACCTACTCTGAGAAGGGGAGGGGCAACAAAAACTTGTATATTTCGGTTTTTTCCCCTTCCTTTCCAATTCAAATCATGCTGGCCACAAAAACAATTTCCCGATTGCCAATACAATAAATTGCCAAATGCCTGACAATTTGGGCTAGCGACACCCCTAAATGCTATAATGATAGCAACCGCTATATCTTCAACCTTGAATGTCATATTTAGTACAGTACCGGTAGTTAGTTAATTAATGGCAGTAATCAACATGAAGTCAAGTACATTTCTGGCCATTGATGAGAAATTTTGTCCAGAAGTACAGTGAAATAACAAAATAGGGTGCACTAAAGAGCATTGTGGCTTAAAGATCTAATGTGATAATTAACCAAACAGGTAGACATGCAGATGGATAACCTGCACACAGACTACAGTATATAATGACATATATATTATTATATAGTCTGCGTGCAGGCTAGCAGATGGACAGGTTAACCCATTCAAATACCAAGTTCAATACTTTCCCCTTGACGCGTTAATTAAACAGCTTAAAATAACAAAGTAGGGCAAACTGAGGCACATTGCAGCTTAACTTGCTCCAAGTCTATCATTACAAACTATAAATCTTTAATACTAATTCTTATCCAGACACAAAATTTGGTTATAATTCAATAATTTGAGAAGTGCTGTTGCATATAAGGGCAGTTAAAAAATATAACAAGGATTTGGTTTATAAACTGTTAATTTCTAGAGATCATATTAGACACAATACAAACATGGAATTCACTATATTCATATTTTTAATTATATGTTTTATAAGTCTAAATTCCTTTTAATATTCCTCTGATATACAAATCTTCTGAAAACTTTAATATTATCAAGGTTTATAACCGACTTAATATTAGAATTGAGACTCTCTTCAGGTACTTTAATACTACAGTAGCAATTATTAAACACACACTATTGTAATTGTTTTTGTTCTTGAAAATTGCCCTTTCCACGCGCTCTTTCAACCATTAGAAACATAGTAGCGATAAACGGCTAAATTATGCTGGAGGAACCACAAATGTCTCTACATTTAAAGCTTTTTCAAACTGACACAGAGGTGAATGGACAAGATTACAATTAATTGTGACATTTTTCTTCGACAACAGCACTCTTCGCGGCTCCTGCTGGCTCTATACTGACCCTGTTTCACACGCAATATTTTCCTTATTCAGTCGCTAACACACCTTTTGTATCCCACTATGAAGAACATCAACATTTCCACCAAAATCCAGAAAAAATCATCATTTTATAGACGAAACAATAAAATATTTCAAACAATTTGTTTTGCTTTTGCACACGCATGCGCAGTTCGGTCGACATACAGTTTTCTGTATGTCTGAGATGGATTATCCCAGAGCCTTCGTTTCCTTCCCAAGGATCGCAGGCTCGGGGAACGAGATTGACAAACAAGAAGATCAAGTTTCATCGAAAAAGGTATTTTAATCCATATTAATATCACACTACATTAAACCATCCATGTTTGATTTATATTATATTATATCATATATGTCTTTTTATTAAAATATGTATGTTTTTTTAATGAATAAATAATTTTTGGTGATTTAATTAATATAAAATATCTTATGAATGCCCAGGGCAGTCATGCGATAAGTTTTATATTTACATATATTAAATATTTTATATATCATATATATATGTTTTCGTTTCAAAACAGGTTCTACTTCAGTATGACGACAGTCGGAAGGTGGTTTTCGTGGACAAATTCTCCGACATTGTCAACAAAGCGAGGGAATGTTTTGAATTAAATAAAGGAAACGTATTGATTGTCCAGAAATATGATGAAGAATGGAACGAGTACATAGATTGTGACAGTTTTGCCCAGATTAATACTGGTGATAAACTTAAAATAATATTGAACCAAACCTGCCGATCTGATGATGGTCAAGATACATCTCTAGTAAGTATTAAACTACACTTTTCCTCAACACTATCAACTCATGCAATTTGAACATTCAAAGCCATTTTTATATTACTTAATATGCATTCTTTAAATGGGACTGGATATATTGGTTCGAATTACATGTATTAATTGTTAAATATTGTCAATGATGTAGTCACAACAAACCAGGGAGGTTGCAACATAATGGATTTGCATGAATCCTGTAAATGTTCAGGCCAACAACTCTGCATGGGGGAGTAGCTCTAGCTATGTCTCTGAATGTTTATATAAAGAAAAAGAAATGGCATTTATATCTAAGCAAAAAAAATGGCAAATAAATAAAGAAATGGCATTTATACTTATATCTACTGTTGTGGTGACCCTGCCATGAATGCATGACAATGGCGAAGTTAAATAATTAAATAAATAAATAAATAAGCTGTATAAAACGGTGATGTGACCTCTTTTAGAAAATATTTGATATGCTGCAGATACTGAAAGAATTTGTAGACTAAACCCATTAACTGCCAGTACCCTACTACTGAAGAGTAAAATCATTGTTTACTTATAGCCAATTAAAGTAAAACAGGCTGGCGTTGGGCAGAGTAAAATACAATAGAAGGGCATATCTGCCTCATTGCCATATGGGATATAATCATGCACTATGCAGGGTTTGGGAGAAAGGGAATTATAATTGTTTCACAATACTAATCTGTATTTTAACAGAATGACTCCACAAAGAGGGACTTACCCAAAGAGAAGGTTCGACAAGTATTCAAAGGCCAAAAGAAAATAAAACTATCAACAAAGGGTGAAATGATCCTTGAGCCTTTACAAGAGCAGGTAAATTAAGTTAACACACACATGATATACTTTGATATTCATAAAAAAATGATTTGGTGCTGGAAATTATATTTTTCCACTATTAAATTCTTTCCAATGTAAAATGAGGCACCCAAATTAAAACTAGAATTTGTATGACAATTACAAATTACTATAATTGAAATATGAACATTGAGCTATACAGGTATATCCAGAAAATATGTTGTTTTGTGCATGTGAATACATTCATTCATTCAGACTTTTTTTCAGAATATTGTGAACCTTCAAGCTCAGACAGAACATGAGTCAATACAAAGAGGGCAAATATATCAAAGACCAGAACATTTACTAAAACCATATGAAAAAGCAATAAATGCTGCATCAGAAGAGTTGGTAACTATGAATCCATCATTGATATTTGATAGAAGTGCATTGTTTGAACAGGCCCGACAAAACGTTAGGGAATGTGGATATGTTTTCAAAAAAGGCTTTTCAAGGAGCAAACATAATCAAACAGAACCCCCCAGTTCAAAACCAAAGAATACTTTATCTGATGATAGAAAAACCAGAATTCTTAAGATCACAGAACAACTTCAAGTAATAAATGACCAAATCGTGGTTAAAGAGAAGCGCAAATTGAAAGCAGAGCAAGTGAAAGATTATCAATTGTGTGATAGATTGTTAAATGAAAAGAAACAGCTTTTATCTGAAAAGCAAACTCTGGAGTCTGAAATGAAATTATTACAACGTAAAGAGCACAAATCAGCTTGCTATTATTCTAAAAAAACAAAAGTCAATTCAACAACTGACCTTAAGAAGCCAAACAATAGAATTAAGGGTCAAACATCTTTGCATTCCTTTTGCACATCTTCAATATCACAGGAACATATGAGCCTCCCACAGCAAATTGATCTAGATAATTACCCTGAGCAAAGCCCGTCCTTAAATGTCAATATAAACCAAGCACATTCTATCAATGCTGATTTTCAAAAAAGTGTTCCTTGCCCACAGAAAAGTTCATCTGTGAGAGACATCACTAATTCTCAGAATTTCTCATTTGTCAACGTGGCTAGTTGCCCACACCCAACACCATCACAGCATAGTCAACCACTTATCAATGACCAACCACAGCAAAGCATACCTATAATAGCTAATAATTGCTTGAAACAAAATCCATTTGCCCATACCAGTCACCCACAACAGCAAAATATATCTTTCATTGCTGATAATATTTCACAACCAAATTCATCTGTCACAATAAATATTAACCCACAGCAAGGTCTGCCTGTCCAAAAGAATAGTCACACACAACAAACTTTGTCATTCAGTGATGACGATTGCAATAGAGTTAATGATGAAAGTAAACCTATTGGTGAAATGTCGAGCAAGGATTTTTAAATGTGCCCCTTAATTCCAAGGGGCAATTTTATATGATTAGTATTTACAAAAGGGAAAAGCTTAAAAAACTATCAGAATATACAGATACCCCTGACGGAGCAATTTCTTTGTTTGAAGGGTTGTCATTAGTTGATTATATTGTTGCGGGAGAAACAGTATGTATTAGTGAGCATAGACAACCTTGTAAAAATTGTCTTGGATTACTGAACGTTGCAAAGGTAGTTGCTAATGAAGGACACTGGAAAATGAAAGATGCATTTAAATGTTTAGCTGAACATGTACAACCTTGTGAAGCATGTCCTGAGAAAATCACAAATAATGTGAATGAAACCTGTAACAAACCCAAAATGTGTTCAGACCCAATAAACATGGCCAACTATTCTTCGCAGCATGCTAAGAGAAAGTTCCTTCAGATGCCACTTGCTGCTATTAATGTGAAAAGTGGAAGCAAAGAATCAGAAACTTTCCTTGTTGACAAGCATGCAAACCTAACTTTGCTGCGCAGTCTTTTACAGAAGTTGCTTGAAAAACGCCAAGACAACAATTTATTAAACATGGAGACTTTCAAGGCACTTATTGAAAGTTGTAGCTCTGATGCAGAACGCGAGAAGTTGCGTTTTACGGTTGCAGAGACAACTGGATTATCACAAAGACAACTTACAAATCAGTTTGGAATTTCTAATTGCATTAACAGGAAGGCCAGAATTGAGCATGCTCTGGCACGAGCTTTGGAGATTCGGAAGAATGTAGAAAAACTAAGTCAGATTAGAGAACAAGCAGTGTTAATGTCTCTTGGATTTGATGTGGCTGAAATTGACTCTGATGATTCCTCGTCCGAAAGTGAATCGGATCCAGATGTTGAAGTTGAAAATGATTTAATACTACAACAATCTCTAACGAAGAGAGTTCCAACACATCAGTATTGTGAAAACGAAGAGGAATTAGACACAGCGACAGCGTTATTCCAAAAGTGTAAAACTCAGAAATTACTGTCCTGCTTGAAAGATAATCATTTCAACTGGATTTCATTTGTAGATACATTGAAAACTGAGGAACC